CACTGTCACGAAGGCTGACATTCCAGTAGCTGCAGCTGCGAATGCATTCTTCTGATTGGAAAACACTTTATGAGGCAACGTGGCAATTGCTTACAGCTTTGGAATTTTCGCAGGGTTTCTTGGCCACTGGATGCCTATGAGCGGACCATTTAAAACGAACACAAACGAAAAGCATCTCACTGGTGGAGCAAAACCATATTGAACAAAAGGGCTCACAGTGCGACCGATGCGGGCCCGTACCCGAATCACCCTGAACAAATTAGCCCGTGCAAACGGTGCCCGTACTACGGTTTTCACCAGTATAAAATGTTTTGTGCTTAGATCAGCGGATGCTTTGTCTGCCCAGGGATACTCGAGAAGTCTCTCACTTTGAGATTGGGCATCCACTCGAGTCCATGCAAACTATTCTGTGCTACCAAGAGTACCGGACACGCTTTGTGCGTGCGCACGCATGCGCGCACGTCCGACAAAATCGTGGTCCTTCTCCTGAAGATTTTCGCTGGCGTTTGGTATGTTGTGCATATATAGGTATGCACACGCATAAACATCTCAACTGTGTGGTACGTAACACAACGGGCTCAGTTCAACTCAAAAGCCGTCGTGCGAAAGCGCTCATGCAGCTTGCATGACCAGAGACACCAAGACACCCAGGCATCTCATCACTTCTTTGCCGGCATTTTGGCCAAAGCCGTCAATGTCTTGCGCGCCTGACCAGAAGGAGGCCGAACACTGGTTCAACGCACCAGTGAGGCATGGCACCGACGAACGGCATGCAGCCAACATCAAGAACTTGTCCTGGCTTAACCGCGACCCTGTGCCGTACGCTTCAAAGAACTTGAAGACGTGATTGCCGCACAGGTGCATGTAAAGCGTTGCAAATCTGACAACTGCCATGACTTGCCCTGGGCTTGGGCTGTGGCTCGTCAGATCTTGCGTTGCTCTTTTGTGCCTTCCATGGAACCCCAGCTATGCCTCCAGCCTTAGGGCTTCTGCGACGCGCAAGGTATTACTTGCACGCCTTGTCTTCGTCCACGACATCGTTTCCGCCATGCAGAATGCACTTGCCGGCTGACTTTCTGGCGTCGCAGACGAGTTTCCGAAAACTGTGCCCGGGGAAACGACACCTTACCGGACACAGATCTGCTGAAAATACAGCGTGTTCCCGTGTGAAGCCGACAACGGGAGCAAAAAGGGACAAAAATTCTGTTGCCGATAGCTCTACCTGACACTCTGGTCGAATCATCGACGGACGGGAGAACATGACAGCGCTACTTGCAAGAAACCCCGAATATTGCATTATCGCCCGCGCTGAGCCTTATTAGCTCCTAAAACTTGCACGTTGGCGCACGCTGGGCTTCGTGACACAATAGATCGGTGAAATGTTGGGCCCATCTGCTCCGGGTTTCCTATGTTGCGTGTCCTTCTGACTCGCCAGACCCGGCCCACTTGCGGTTTTGATGCATCGTCCAACTTCATCCTTCCACGAAGATCCTGGCCATGCGTACTCATTGAGCAAATCATGACGCTTGACACTTGAGACGCTTGAGCCAAAATGTATCAGTGTGTTTCTCACTCTGCCGTGGAATAATCGCAGGTGTGATGAAGTTGCGTCATGATCATGGCGGTTGGTCGGTGAAGACCACTAAGGCCCTGTCGGGTGTTGTTGAGGCACAACGACCGACTCACTCTTGGAGAACTTGGCTCGAGAACCTTCAGAACACAAACGTCAAGCCCTTCGATGAGTCCTTGAGCAGCTTTCTCGCGGAGATGGCCGCGAAAGCGTGCTTGCTTTCCGAGGAACTTCCTGTCTTTCCTGACGGCCAACTCGAAGGACAGATTCTGTGTAAAGGCCGCGTGCACGCTGGCACAAAGCTAAGCTCTACGCCTAAGCCAGCCCCTAATTCATAATTGCAGGCTTTCGGTTTAGGGTTTAGGGTTTAAGGGTTTTAGGGGTTTAAGGTTTAGGGTTTAAGGCTTTCAACGCTCGTCTGTTCCTCCCTGCTTCTCCCCTCTGTTGGCTACCCGCCCAACTCCACCTTCCCATGTCTCACTCGCACCCAGTTCCCAATCCACTCCCATCCCACTCCCCACTGTCCACCACGCGTTTCCACTCGCACCAGTACTCCATCCCAGTCCGCTCCCACTCTCTGCTCCACTCCGCTCCACTCCCATTCCCATCCGTCCTCGCAGCATGGACATTTGCGATAACAGCAGTTGGTTATATATGTGTAAAAACAAGCGTATACTCACGTGGTTAATGTCTGTATCTGCATACACACAGGTAATGTAAAAAGAATCCACAACCACGCGGCAACACAATGGGCTCAGTTCAACTCAAAAGCCGTCGCGCAAAAATTCTCACGCAGCATAGACACCCGGGCATCTCATCACTTCTTTGCCGGCCATATTGTCCAAAGCCGTCAATGTCTTACGTGCCTGACAGGAAGGAGGCGGAACACACTGGTTCAATGCACCAGTGAGGCGTGGCACCGAAACGCGGCACGCAGCCAACATCAAGAACTTAAGTTCTGGCTCGAAGAACTTGAAGACGTGCTGGCCACACAGGTGCATGTAAAGCATTGCAAATCTGACAACTGCCATGACTTGCTCTGGGCTTGGGCTGTGGCTCGTCAGATCTTGCGTTGCTTTTTGTGCCTTCCGTGGAACCCCAGCTATGCCTCCAGCCTTAGGGCTTCTGCGACGCGTAAGGTATTACGTCGCAGAACAGCTTCCGCGAAAGTGCCAGTTTCCGAAAACCGTGCACAGGGAAGCGATACCTCACCGGATAACCCTTACTGAGCCTTATTGCTTGGCTTCGTGACACAAGAGGTCGGTCAGATCTTGGGCCCATCTGCTCCGGGTTTCCTATGTTGCATGTCCTTGCGAGCTGCACCTTTCATCGAGCCGGCCCGCGCGCGGTTTTGATGCATCGTCCAACTTCATCCTTCCATGAAGTTCGTGGCCATAAGAATTCATTGAGCAAACCATGACGCTTGAGACCTTCGAGCCAAAATGTATCAGCGTGTTTCTCACTCTCTCTGTATCCTCCCTGCTTCTCCCCTCTGTGGGCTACCCGCCCAACTCCACCCTCCCATGTCTCACTCCCACCCACTTCCCAATTCACTCCCACTCCACTCCATTGCATTCATGCACCCGCTTCTCCTTCTATTTCAGTTTCAATTCTGTTTCTGTTACTGATACTATTCTTATTATTTGCAAACAATATCATTGTCACTGTTATTGCTTCTATTATTACTAGTATTACTATTGCTAATATCATTATTATTGCTCGTGAAATTGCTAGTATTATTTACTGCTATTGCAAAAAGATCTACTACTACTACTACTACTACTACTACCACTACTACTCTACTACTACCACTACTCTACTACTACTACTACTACTACTACCACTACTACTCTACTACTACCACTACTCTTCTACTACTACTACTACTACTACTACGACTACTACCACTACTACCACTACTACTACTACTACTACTACTACTACTACCAGTACGACTACCAGTACGACTACCAGTACGACTACCAGCACTACTAGTACTACTAGTACTACTAGTACTACTAATACCACTAGTACTACTAGTACTGCTAGTACTACTAGTACTACTAGTACTACTAGTACTACTAGTACCACTAGTACTACTAGTACTACTAGTACTACTAGTACTACTAGTACTACTAGTACTACTGGTACTACTAGTACTACTAGTACTACTAGTACTAGGCGCCCCCCCCCTACCAACTAC